AATTGAGTATATGTACCTATTATGGTAAGCTGATCTTCTCTTTAATGTTAGTGCAAATAACTCAGTTTACCTTATTCCTAGTACATAAAGTATATCTTTTTATTGTAACTGATTTTCGAAGAGTTGAGTTATTTGGCTGTTTTAATTTTCGTTTAAATAATAAGATATTACAAGGACCCCAATGGAAATAAGTCGCTTTGGCTTTTTTGGGTTATCCTAGGTAATTTACACTATGATAATTGTAAGATAAGGCAAGATAAGATTTTATTTGGATTTTTAACTCCAGAGGGTTAGCCACCCAGGATAACCCAAGAAAATCAGTGCATCATCGAGGATTCTTATTTTCGTTGGAGTCCTTAAATCTTGTTCCCTAGGATGTGACCCACACCAGTCGACTAACACCCAGATACCTATTTACTTACTAGGTGAACGGGATAGCAGGTATGAGTAAACATGTCCACCCGTGCTAGGGATCGAACCACGAACACTCAGTGTGTGAGGCGATAGTGTTGCCAACCAGGCACAGGTACTTACGTGTACCTGTGCCTAAATAAACTTACTAATCTTTAGTTCTTGTGGCATTCACTTAACCCTTAAACTGTCCAAATGTAGATCTACGTTCACGTGCATAGCACTCTGACCTTGATTTTCCCCATTTGAAAGCGTCCGGAGTCCCCCGCACGTGGACGTAGATCTATGTTTGGACAGTTTAAGGGTTAAATGCAAGTTCACAGCAATGAAGAGAACATTGGTTATGCTCAGTATGTGGAGATACATTTTATGTGAGCCTCACCTAATTTTTCCATGCAGTAACTGACATCTCTTGAAGACAAAAGACCATTTTTGTTGCTACTCACAAATGTACAAAATGCAATTCTCATGGAGTTTAGCAGATTTTTCTTAATTATTAATCACTTTTATCTTTCATGTCAGGATTTGGTTTCAAGATATTATATATAGGTCACCTGTAGTGGTCAGTTTCAGGGATCACCGCCCTTGTGGCTGGCTAATCACACTCATCTTTATAAATACGTTTTCTGCAGTACGGGTTTTCTCTTGCTTTATGACATTTTGTTTATGTGCCTGACCCTATATTTACCATTAATTTTGTGTATGTAATATAAATTTGTTCTTATGCAATCACCAAAGTCCAGCACCACTTTTTGCTTTAATATCTGTTTAAATATCACATTAAACTGTAATCCTGACCAGTAAGAAAAAAACAATTGGCATGGGAAATCCATTGGGTGTATTTTGAATGAAAGGCACTCTTCGACATCCTTCGTGTCTGGTGCCCAAGACTGTTCAACAGCCTCCTACTATGCATAAGGGGAATTACCAATAGGCCCCTGGCTGCCTTCAAGAGGGAGCTGGACAGATACTTAGTCGGTTCTGGATCAGCTGGGCTGTGGTTCGTACGTTGGAGTACGTGCGGCCATCAGTAACGGCCTTGTTGATCAGGCCCTTATCCACCAGGAAGCCTGGTCGTGGACCAGGCTGCGGGAGTGTTGATCCCTGGAATACCCTCCAGATAGACTCCAGATATGCACTGTAACATGCTATAGTGCAGAGCTGTGAACCCAAAGACACTTCATTGAAAATTCCTCTCTGATATGAAAATAATGTTTCTTTTGATAATACATATACATGTATGTATATATTTAACACAATGTATACCACAGAGCATGCCTGCTGCTGCTGCTGCCTTTTTTCCCAATATGTAGGGAATAGCAGCTGATTGGGAGATGCCCAGGAAATGGTGATAAAGGCTGAGTGACTTCCAGGAACTTGAGATGAATTCAGGTCAAGTGATATGTGGAGTCTAGGGACAAACACATCTCATTTAAAATGATTATTCATCTTTGCCTTCTTTGCATTAGGCTTCTTTATAGGGAAATTCCTTACAGGAAAGCCATTTGCAAACATAAAAATGTAAACATCTGCCTTCGTGTTCTGCATTTATAAACTAAATTTGTGTAAAAGCAAATTTTATAAGTCAATAGCTGAACGAAGTGAAAATTTGTGTGCACTTGAGAAATTAATGGGATTCAAACCTGTGGCCTAGTAGTGCTGAAATTACCAGCCCGTCATTGTAAATGTCTTACTTGCTGTGTATATACAGTTAAGGTATATTGCTGTTTGTGTGCAGGTAACTTGTTGGCAAGTAGTCAGGGTGTGCATATCAAAATATGAAAAGATATTTACCACATGGCTGGCTCCTCATACTCTATCACTCTTGCACTGTCTCAAACCCGTTTTCTCACTCTAATGCTCTTACTCTCACATTCTTGCTCTCTCACTCACTCCAGCTCTCATGCTCCCATTCTCTAACTTTCTTGTGATCTCATGTTCACATAGTCTTGCACTCTCACGTGTTATAGTGCTCTTTCATGTGTTATCATGATTTTTCACATGTTCTTGCTCTCTTGCCCTCACTCTTTCCTGTTCTTTCATACTATCATTCTTTTTCATGCTGTCATACTTTCTCATTCTGTCTTGCTCTCTTGTTTTCTCACTTTTACCTCTAACCTCTTTTCTTTTTCCTATATCTTTTTCATCTATATCCCTCAATTTGTATATTGGTCTAGGGATCTCCTCCCTCACTGCCTTGCTAAGCTGACAGTGCTACCCTTTGTTACTGCCTCTCCTTAACCTCTCTTGCCTTCCCCCTCCCTTCCCCTTCCCCTTGAGGCAGGCAACAGGCTTGCATCACTGCATTCCTTGTAGCACTGTTCATCTCATTGTGGTAGTCAGCTGATCTACCTATGGTCAGCTGATGTGTCTGAGGTCAGTTGGCATGTCTGGGGATCAGCTGATGTGTTTGGGTATCAGTTGGCATGCCTGGGAATCAGCTGATGTGCCTGGGGAAGGGGGTCATTTAATTTGCCTGGGGGTCAGATGATGTGCTAAGGGTCAGCTGATATGCCTGGGGTCAGCTGAAATTTTCAGGACTGACCCCTAGGTCAGTCCTGAAATCTCTTGGAAAGCTTCAACGTAATTCTTAGACACAACACGAGAAACAAAGCTTTCTTGTATCCTTTGTATTCAACTCAAAATCAGTAGAAATCCCATTTAAATAAAAGAACCAAAAATGTGGATAACACTACCAGAAGAGTCAAAGTTTGAACACCTTCAATATATAAACCCCCCACACGTGCACTGTATAATCCTATGGGTTTAGTGCTTCCCCATGATTATAATAATAATTTATCCCAACAATTATTAGTCTGTAACTAAAATTGTCATAGAGTTGTGTGTTACTGTTTCATCATATTAACATTGCTATAGTAATATACAGAATTTGGTTACTTAAAATATTTAATAATATTAAGAACATAAGAAAGAAGAAATACTGCAGCAGGCCTACTGACCCATGTGGAGCAGGTCCATTTCCCCCCTCTCTCACCCCGGATTAGCCCAATGACCCACCCAGTCTGGTCACCTCCACTCAAGGAAGGAGCACGGCACCAGACCCAGCAGCACAAGCTAGTCAGGTCCAACTCACACCCACTCATGTATTAATCTAATCTATTTTTAAAACTACACAACGTTTTAGCCTCAATAACTACTCGGGAGTTTGTTCCACTCATCCACAACTGTATTACCAAACCAGTGCTTTCCTATATCCTTCCTGAATCTGAATTTTTCCAACTTGAAACCATTGCTGCGAGTCCTGTCTTGGCTGAAAATTTTGAGGTAATCTGTGTTAAATTTAGCAGTCAAAAAAATATTTCTTTAAGTGGACTAATTTTGAGTTTAAGTTTTAATCTGGGTAAGATGCATTACATAACCAGAGGCTTTTCCAAATGTCAAATAATTTTGTGACAGTTACTGGTACTGTCAAATAATTTTGTCAGTTACTGGTACTGTCAAATAATTTTGTGACAGTTACTGGTAGACTTTTCCAAATATTAGGCAGTATATATACATGTATCACTGTCCTTCCTAAGGTGCGCAGATACGATAGTTTGTATGTCCTTCCAAGCAGCAAATATCACTACCTGTCCTTTAGAGTGTAGGCACTGTACTTTCCACTTCCAGGACTTAAGTCCAGCTAACCGGTTTCTTTGAATCCCTTCACAAAAATGTTATCTTGCTCACACTCCAACAGCTTGTCAGGTTCCAAAAACCATTTGCCTCCAGGCCAGGAGGCAGTAACAGTTTGGTTATACCTGTGACCAGTTTTAAAGGCTTTTTAGAATTTCTCCTGCAGCCTGGTTATGGGCAAGTCTTGTCTGGTGTTTGCCTGGTTAATCAAGCTGTTGCTGTTGGTGGCCTGCTGGCTTATGCATCCATCACAACCTGGTTTATATAATGATAATAGGGAGGGGTGTTAATGTTGCAGTTTTATAACTAGTGTAAGTGCACCTCTGGCAAGACAGTGATGGAGTGAGTGATGGTGAAAGTTTTTCTTTTTCGTGCTACCCTGCCTTGGTGAGAGATGGTCAGTGTGTTAATAAAAATATAATATTTCTACAAGTACATTTACAAGGTATACAGGCCTAGCTGATATAAATGACATACTACTATGTAGAAATCCACTTGTTATGCAGAACATTTCGGGCAAATTAGGCCAGTTTTAACCCAGATGCGACCCACACCAGTCGACTAACATCCAGGTACCCATTTTATACTGATGGGTGAATATGGACAGCACATGTCTTGTGGAAACATTCTAATGTTTTCCAGCCGTACCGGAGATTCAAACTCTGGACCTCAGTGTGTGAGCTGAGTGCGCTAGTGATCAAGCTACGGGACACCTATGGTACTTGGGACAGTTATTGCTAAGACTGCCAGCAGGAAGGTCTGGCCTCAGGGCAGTTACAGAAATAGCTTAGAATACATGGTTTCACTTATATATTAGCTATATTAATTCACTTACAGATTTGTGTATGCTTGACAAAGCATCGAGATTTTAACTATACGTATAATAAATAAATGAATATTTGGTAGTATTTCCTTACTGCATCTTTGTTTACAGTGTCTTCTTTTTATTACAGAAATTAAGTTTCCAGTATGCAGTGAGAAAACTAAGGTAAGAATTTTGTTTTTACTTTGACATTGTAGGACCAGTATTCATACTTTGGAAGATTTGAATAACTGTACATATTTTTTTTTTCATTATTTTATCTGTGAAACCAATGTATATAACAATTTTCTTAATCTGGAAGGTTAAGGTGCACTAGTATACCTTGAGGGTGTTCCGGGAGTCAACGCCCCCGTGGCCCGGTCCATGACCAGGCCTGGCGGTGGATCAGGGCCTGATCAACCAGGATGTTACTGTCGGCCACATGCAAACCCTAAATTTTTCTTTTCCTACTCTCGCACTTGAGACTTGTGTATTATTGAATACAAGTGGCAGGTGGGCAGTAGCTATCCTTGAACATGAGAGTGACATGAATAATGGGCAGGTTGTGATAGTTCTTTAGGCCAAGCAAACCATATAGGCCTTCAAGCCACTTGCAGCAACAGCCTGGCTGACCAGAGAGCCAGTGAGAAACCATACCATAGACGGGGATAGAACCCGCTATCAGAGAATAATAAAACTCCAGACCAACATGCTAGCCACTGGAAGGTTAGCATAGGCACCACTGTGACCACAAATGCAAGTTTTTACAGACAAATCTCCCACTAGCGTGGCCTTGACTAGCTCTAGCTCAAGCTCCCTCAAAGCCATCAACATAACTCACGAAATCATAATGACACGAGTGCAAACAAATCATACCATGGACAGGGATGGAACCCGTGATCACAGAGTCATAAAACTCCAGACCAATGCACTAGCCAGCTGGCCCAATGGCTAGCACGTGGTCTGGAGTCCATAGAGCGTGTGTGGCTTGTGAGGTGGAATACTGCAGGGGGAAAAAATTAATCTTGACTTGGAAATCAGCAGCTCCTGTTTGTCCATCTGAATAACTTGGATTGTGTATCTGAACCTGTTTGCCTACCTGTGGTTCTGCTTTGCAGCTGTCTTCAGAGTTCACTGATTATTTTGGTCAGAAAATATGGAATACAGTATTTGTTTTACTTTGGTTTCGACACAAGTGTGTGTAGAGTTCTCTGCGGTCGTTCTAGGTCATTGTGTATCACAAATTACCTTTTTTCGGTTTGCTCGAATTGTGGTACATATATCAAAAAGTCTTCCCTTGATTCAGAAAGGATGCCAAGCTATCATATTGTTTCTTTTCTTATGTTCCTTTCTAAATTGATTGAACTATTTTTTATCAGTTGTTTCCTTTCCTGGAGCAAAGTATTGTTTCATTCCACTAAGATGACTTTGTTTCAAATGATTTTGTACCAAACACTTGTTTAGGCAGTGCATTGCTGTTAATTTTATTGGACCCTCTGCTTATCCATGCATTGTTGCTTTTGAAACTGTATCTTTCTGGTTGGTCATATCAAGTAGTAGTCAGTGATATTGTAGCTGAGCTGTTTCCTTTGCCGTGTTGTACTTACATCAGCCAGCAAGAGAAAAGTGCACTAGGATTCAAGGCAGCAAAAAGGATCACTTCAACTTGTTGCTTTGCGGTAATGCATCAGGCGATTTTAGGTGGTTCTTTACTGTTCCAAGACTCCCTGTGCTTTGAAAGGTGCAGATAAAACTACCTTACCAGTTGTATGGAGGTCAAACCAATCAGTATAGATGAGAGAGGAATTATTTTGTAAATATCTCAGTACTCCAGTACAACATACATCAGTGCAAGAATCTCAGCCATCCACCTCAGCCAACGATCCACAACCTTCATGTCAACCTAGTAGGGCTACACCATACCTCTCCACTCCTTTTACAATCATTGCCATACACCAGCAAGCAGAATTTAAGGTAAGAAATATTATTTGTGTAACCTTTGTAGCTAACAGTATTATAATAACTGCAACACATCATTACATCATCTTAGTTACATTATTTCAATCTACAGTCACATTATTATCCTTATTTTTATATGAAAAATTTATTGCCTTTATTGGGTTTTAAAGAACATAACCCTATTTTTCCCACATGTTCTTCAGTTCATTTTACACAGTTTTTAATTACAAGGCATTTTCAGGACTATAACTGCTGTGTTAACCAGTAGTCATCTGTATATAATTTTAAAAATAATTTTGTAGACTGAATATTGGGACTTTCTTTTTCTCTCTTGATGTTGCTGGCATTATCATCTTGCCTTCTATTTTTCATTGTCACTAATTTTTAAAAAATAATGCAGCTCGCATACCTTCTTGAACTCAAAAAAAAAAAAAAAAAAAAAAAAAAGTAAATGTAAATATGAATATTTATGAAATTGAAACAGCTTATTTAATGATCTAGACAATTATTGAAATAAGGCGGCTTGTTTTATTGTTATTGAGTATTGAATATTTTTCTCAGAAGGATTGCCTGTCAGTACAAGAGTTGGAATCAGTTCAGCCTCTCCTTGGTAAACTGGAGGAGGTCCTGTTGCCTGCCCTGCACACCCATGCTGGCTTTTATCAGTGTGGAGATACTCCACTTAGATATATACCAGTGGCTAAAATTAAAGAGCTGTTTGATCAGCAGGATTCTTTACAAGTAAGTTATTTATGTGTGTTTTGTTAGTGTTTGTGTTTTAGTGCATTGACTTTATTGGAGTTTCTAGTCATATTTAATGGTGTTTGCTGGGTATTTTCTTTGTACTATAATATTCCAGTCAAAGTACTGTGCATCAGCTCTCAGCTAAGAGTGCCCAGGAATGTCTTCCTAACATATCAGACATCCCTTTTCCCCCTCAAAAAAAAAAAAATATATTGAAAATAAACCGGTTATCCATTATGTAATTAGAGATGGTAAGAGTTAATTTACAGTAAAACTTCTCATGATGTGTGATATGGTCCTCAAAATTATCACCAGTGAGAATTAGCATTATGTTAGTGAAGAATATATGGGACTAGAAGAGTTACATTCCAGACACTTCCATATTTCCCACATAACTTTTTATTATTGTACTAGGTAAAAATTACCTATATATATATATATAAAATATATAAAATATATATATATATATATATATATATATATATATATATATATATATATATATATATATATATATTATATATATATATATTTTTTTTTTTTTTTTTTTTTTTTTTTTTCAACAAGTCGGCCGTCTCCACCGATGGCAGGGTGACCCAAAAAAGAAAGAAATCCCCAAAAAGAAAATACTTTCATCATCATTCAACACTTTCACCACACTCGCACATTATCACTGTTTTTGCAGAGGTGCTCAGAATACAACAGTCTAGAAGCATACACCATATAAAGATACACAAACATATCCCTCCAAACTGCCAATATCCCAAAACCCCTCCTTTAAAGTGCAGGCATTGTACTTCCCATTTCCAGGACTCAAGTCCGACTATATGAAAATAACCGGTTTCCCTGAATCCCTTCACTAAATATTACCCTGCTCACACTCCAACAGATCGTCAGGTCCCAAGTACCATTCGTCTCCATTCACTCCTATCTAACACGCTCACGCACGCTTGCTGGAAGTCCAAGCCCCTTACCCACAAAACCTCCTTTACCCCCTCTCTCCAACCCTTTCGAGGACGACCCCTACCCCCGCCTTCCTTCCCTATAGATTTATATGCTTTCCATGTCATTCTACTTTGATCCATTCTCTCTAAATGACCAAACCACCTCAACAACCCCTCTTCTGCCCTCTGACTAATACTTTTATTAACTCCACACCTTCTCCTAATTTCCACACTCCGAATTTTCTGCATAATATTTACACCACACATTGCCCTTAAACAGGACATCTCCACTGCCTCCAACCGTCTCCTCGCTGCTGCATTTACCACCCAAGCTTCACACCCATATAAGAGTGTTGGTACTACTATACTTTCATACATTCCCTTCTTTGCCTCCATAGATAACATTTTTTGACTCCACATATACCTCAACGCACCACTCACCTTTTTTCCCTCATCAATTCTATGATTAACCTCATCCTTCATAAATCCATCCGCCGACACGTCAACTCCCAAGTATCTGAAAACATTCACTTCTTCCATACTCCTCCTCCCCAATTTGATATCCAATTTTTCTTTATCTAAATCATTTGACACCCTCATCACCTTACTCTTTTCTATGTTCACTTTCAACTTTCTACCTTTACACACACTCCCAAACTCATCCACTAACCTTTGCAATTTTTCTTTAGAATCTCCCATAAGCACAGTATCATCAGCAAAAAGTAACTGTGTCAATTCCCATTTTGAATTTGATTCCCCATAATTTAATCCCACCCCTCTCCCAAACACCTAGCATTTACTTCCTTAACAACCCCATCTATAAATATATTAAACAACCATGGTGACATTACACATCCCTGTCTAAGACCTACTTTTACCGGGAATAGTCTCCCTCTCTTCTACACACCCTAACCTGAGCCTCACTATCTTCATAAAAACTCTTTACAGCATTTAATAACTTACACACCTATTCCATATACTTGCAACATCTGCCACATTGCTCCTCTATCCACTCTATCATATGCCTTTTCTAATCCATAAATGCAATAAAAACTTTCCCTACCTTTATCTAAATACTGTTCACATATATGCTTCAATGTAAACACTTGATCTACACATCCCTACCCACTCTGAAACCTCCTTGCTCATCCGCAATCCTACATTCTGTCTTACCTCTAATTCTTTCAATTATAACCCTACCGTACACTTTCCTGGTATACTCAGTAAGCTTATTCCTCTATAATTTTTACAATCTCTTTTGTCCCCTTTCCTTTATATAAAGGGACTATACATGCTCTCCGCCAATCCCTAGGTACCTTCCCCTCTTTCATACATTTATTGAACAAAAGTACCAACCACTCCAACACTATATCCCCCCCTGCTTTTAACATTTCTGTCATGATCCCATCAGTACCAGCTGCTTTACCCCCTTTCATTTTACGTAATGCCTCACGTACCTCCCCCACACTTACATTCTGCTCTTCTTCACTCCTAAAAGATGGTATACCTCCCTGACCAGTGCATGAAATTACTGCCTCTGTTTCTTCCTTAACATTTAAAAGTTCCTCAAAATATTCTCGCCATCTACCTAATACCTCCATCTCCCCATCTACTAACTCCCCTACTCTGTTTTTAACTGACAAATCCATATTTCCCTTGCTTTCTTAACTTGTTTAACTCACTCCAAAATTTTTTCTTATTTTCATTAAAATTTCTTGACAGTGCCTCTCCCACTCTCATCTGCTCTCCTTTTGCACTCTCTCACACTCTCTTTTACCTTTTCTTTTACTCTCCATATATTCTGCTCTTCTTATAACACTTCTGCTTTGTAAAAACCTCTCATAAGCTACCTTTTTCTCTTTTATCACACCCTTTACTTCATCATTCCACCAATCACTCCTCTTTCCTCCTGCACCCACCCTCCTATAACCACAAACTTCTGCCCCACATTCTAATACTGCATTTTTAAAACTATTCCAACCCTCTTCAACCCCCCCATTACTCATCTTTGCACTATCCCACCTTTCTGCCAATAGTCGCTTATATCTCACCCGAACTTCCTCCTCCCTTAGTTTATACACTTTCACCTCCCTCTTACTTGTTGTTGCCACCTTCCTCTTTTCCCATCTACCTCTTACTCTAACTGTAGCTACAACTAAATATTTTTTTTTATTATCACACCGGCCGATTCCCACCAAGGCAGGGTGGCCCGAAAAAGAAAAACTTTCACCATCATTCACTCCATCACTGTCTTGCCAGAAGTGTGCTTTACACTACAGTTTTTAAACTGCAACATTAACACCCCTCCTTCAGAGTGCAGGCACTGTACTTCCCATCTCCAGGACTCAAGTCCGGCCTGCCGGTTTCCCTGAATCCCTTCATAAATGTTACTTTGCTCACACTCCAACAGCACGTCAAGTATTAAAAACCATTTGTCTCCATTCACTCCTATCAAACACGCTCACGCATGCCTGCTGGAAGTCCAAGCCCCTCGCACACAAAACCTCCTTTTACCCCCTCCCTCCACCCTTCCTAGGCCGACCCCTACCCCGCCTTCCTTCCACTACAGACTGATACACTCTTGAAGTCATTCTGTTTCGCTCCATTCTCTCTACATGTCCGAACCACCTCAACACCCTTCCTCAGCCCTCTGGACAACAGTTTTGGTAATCCCGCACCTCCTCCTAACTTCCAAACTACGAATTCTCTGCATTATATTCACACCACACATTGCCCTCAGACATGACATCTCCACTGCCTCCAGCCTTCTCCTCGCTGCAACATTCATCACCCACGCTTCACACCCATATAAGAGCGTTGGTAAAACTATACTCTCATACATTCCCTCTTTGCCTCCAAGGACAAAGTTCTTTGTCTCCACAGACTCCTAAGTGCACCACTCACTCTTTTTCCCTCATCAATTCTATGATTCACCTCATCTTTCATAGACCCATCCGCTGACACGTCCACTCCCAAATATCTGAATACGTTCACCTCCTCCATACTCTCTCCCTCCAATCTGATATTCAATCTTTCATCACCTAATCTTTTTGTTATCCTCATAACCTTACTCTTTCCTGTATTCACCTTTAATTTTCTTCTTTTGCACACCCTACCAAATTCATCCACCAATCTCTGCAACTTCTCTTCAGAATCTCCCAAGAGCACAGTGTCATCAGCAAAGAGCAGCTGTGACAACTCCCACTTTGTGTGTGATTCTTTATCTGTTAACTCCACACCTCGCATTTACTTCTCTTACAACCTCATCTATAAATATATTAAACAACCACGGTGACATCACACATCCTTGTCTAAGGCCTACTTTTACTGGGAAAAAATTTCCCTCTTTCCTACATACTCTAACTTGAGCCTCACTATCCTCGTAAAAACTCTTCACTGCTTTCAGTAACCTACCTCCTACACCATACACTTGCAACATCTGCCACATTGCCCCCCTATCCACCCTGTCATACGCCTTTTCCAAATCCATAAATGCCACAAAGACCTCTTTAGCCTTATCTAAATACTGTTCACTTATATGTTTCACTGTAAACACCTGGTCCACACACCCCCTACCTTTCCTAAAGCCTCCTTGTTCATCTGCTATCCTATTCTCCGTCTTACTCTTATTCTTTCAATTATAACTCTACCATACACTTTACCAGGTACACTCAACAGACTTATCCCCCTATAATTTTTGCACTCTCTTTTATCCCCTTTGCCTTTATACAAAGGAACTATGCATGCTCTCTGCCAATCCCTAGGTACCTTACCCTCTTCCATACATTTATTAAATAATTGCACCAACCACTCCAAAACTATATCCCCACCTGCTTTTAACATTTCTATCTTTATCCCATCAATCCCGGCTGCCTTACCCCCTTTCATTTTACCTACTGCCTCACGAACTTCCCCCACACTCACAACTGGCTCTTCCTCACTCCTACAAGATGTTTATTCCTCCTTGCCCTATACACGAAATCACAGCTTCCCTATCTTCATCAACATTTAACAATTCCTCAAAATATTCCTTCCATCTTCCCAATACCACTA